TTATCACCGCAGACAAAAATCCCCTGCCACTGTAAAGCAATTTAAAGGCAGGCCAGACTGGGAAGAAGAGATGTAGGAGGGCAAGGGTAAGATAACAAGACTGAAGATCAGGTGATAGGAATAGAACAGGTCAGCTGAGAGTTCCACATAAACGAAATTCAACTCTGTTTGGCTTTATGTTCACAAAACATTTACTAAAGCGTCCTGAGTACAGTTTATACCCACTTCATTAGAGAAACAGCTTGCACATGCAAATTAATTATAGGAGCAATTGCCCTTGTGGGGTTTGTGAGGGGATTAGCGTTAACCTTTTCATCAGAGAAGGAAGCACATTTGGTAATCTGAGTTCCAACTGGATCCAACGTACCTTATTATAAAGCAGCAGAGGCACATGATTTCCCCCAAGACAATTAGCAAAGAGCTGGAAAAAGTCAAATACAAAAGAACGCATTGATGTCATATTATTGCATTGTTCCAATAGTATTGATGAGGAAAATATTTGGAAATCGTGATAAAAAAGGGAAAATAGTTTTCCAACTGGAAGTGTTTAAAAAAAATGCAAAAATAACATTTATAATAAACTACCACAAATATTGGTTAAAAGGCAAAAATGTCCAATAAACATGACAATTATTTTCAAAATGATTGGTTTACTCATTTAAAAAATATCTGTGTCACTATCAATGAATACAATAATGGTGATTTCAATCATTTTGGATTCTAAAAAGGGTCCTTAAAAATAAATTAAGACAAATATTTTGAAAAGCTTAGTACAAAAGTAAAGGTAAAGTACAAAAATTAAAACTTAATAGATATAGATACATAAAAATAGCAACATTAAAATGAAATGTATTAAAAATTACTTGAATGCATGTTTAAAAACAAACAGTTCTTAAATATTACATTAAAATGTATTGAACTAAGAAGTTAAACACAAGTGAACTGCATTCGAGGAGTGATTTTGTTGTGTACCACTAGACGGTGCCATCATAACACCGGTGTTGCCTGTACCACACTTTGAGAATCACTGCGATAAGTTGTGTCCAAATATAAGGGTCACGCCCTTTTGTAGAGATGTCCAAATGTCCACAGACAAAAAAAAAAAATGTTGGACACTCAAAATGACACGCAATTTTACAGTTTAAATACGTTTTATTCATCCTAAAAAAGTCTGAGATCTTAATGCGCTGAGTTCCGAGAACAGGCAGAGCAGACCTCCAGGCTTTGTACAGTAGGTACATTAAATCAGTCATGTTGGGATGAAGCATATCTGCTATTACAGTGCAGAACTCAATTATGACTGTGCCTTTTTCATTTCGCTTTCAGGAAGTAATTAAAGTGAACCTGAATGTCAGTGGTTAATTAAACGTCTTAAAATGACTGCAGCAATTTTATCGGTATTATCAGTGGAGTACTTAGCTTCAGAGGACGCACTTGCCTTTCCCTGACTCAGGATGTCCTGTGGTGGAAACACACAAAGAAAAAGGGAACATTTCAGGACACTGGTGACAACTGGAAGGGATTTAAACGTTCAGGTATTAAGAATTATGATAGAAAAACATTCATCGGGCGTATTTGGTTTAAATAAATCCACTCACCAAATATACCCCCCCCCCACCTCCTTCTTCCCGAAGGCTCATTACAGTGGAGCCATTTCGTCAGATGAATTTTCATATAGCAGAGTGAGGATTACACTGGCAGACGTTTTTAATCTGCTCTGCTCTCTTTCTCTATCTAGCACTGTCATTTTATTCTAAACTATTTTATTTTTAACCAGGCTGCTGAACTCAAGATGACCGTAATCACCCGGCGATGAAAATAGAAAAAAAGTCCTTACGTTTCTATTTTTTTGTAGCGCATCCTGAACTGCTTTCCTGCCAATCGCAGTTTTAAACAATGCAGGTTTGGGGAGAGCATACGCTACAAAATGGGCTTGAGCAGACAAAAACCGAATCGCAGAACGTTGAGCAAAAGCAAACGAAAGAGCGTTGTCGGTACACAGTAGCCAAAGTGAACTCAACTCGGCTTGTTTCACAACAATCAGCAGCTCACCTTAGTGACTAAATCTTCCGAACAAGACTTCAAGATGTTTAATCTCGGTCAATTTACTGTAAAACCCAACATAAAACAATGACAATTGCACATTGTATGTTTAAAATCAGATACCTTTGCCCTGAGAGTCGACGAACTGAATGCTAATTAGCATTAGCCCGTCTTGTTCAAGGTTTCAACAGTTTTCGTGCTTTTCTTGTCGCAAGGAATTTCTGAACATGTCAAAATTCTCTTGCGACGAGAAAGGCGTGAGCAAACCTTTGGCGAATGTTTGTCAAACACTTGCGACGGTGAACAAACCCTGACGCACGCAACATTCGTAACTCACAATTATTCGCCGTTCAGCATTTTTTGTTGCGGTGGGAAACCATTTTATGAAAAGGATATTTAAAACACAAAAAGTGCAGCAACAGTAGTGTCAGGTGTCAGGGTGGGTGAAAGGGTTAAAATAATAACTGCATCTTAAAATGTGTAAATAGTAAATGTTGGCAGCAGAGAATTGGTGTTTGGCAGTCTCCCCCTGGGCCCCGTTTATAATGATTGGAAAAGCTTGCTCCTCTGCTGCTATGAGCTCTGTTTTGTTGGGATTTAGCTCAAGGTGGTGGTTCCCCCTGCACCAATTAAAAAGACGGATTATCTCAGGGTCGTAGGTTGTCTCATAATGGAGGACATCAGACCTACCACAGCTGTGTCGTCTGCAAACTTCACCAGGATGTTGGAGTTATGTCAGCACACTTCAAGAAAAAAAAATCATGTTGTTGTTAGCATGATGAGCTAGGTGCTATCGCTTGCCTTGTGCGCACCTCAAGTTTACGCATTTAAATTGCCATTAATGCCATCGACAGAACTGCAGAGGTTATTTGAGTTTAATTCATTATTTCTATTGTTTAATTGTATTTTAATACACATACATTTAGCCAGGAAAATTACAGTTAGGCCATCGACACGCCATTATATTTCTAATTTAGATGTTCAACCTACTGAGCTAGTTTCTATCATCAACCTGCAACTTTACAGCTTTCTCAAGTTAACACTTTAAATTATTATTCAGTAGTATGTGTTCAATGAACCCACATGCGTTGACACTACAGGCAGATGCAATGAGAGCACCGAAACCAGATTACAAATCTGACGCTGAAAAAAAAAAGCAGATAAATTAGCATTTTAAATCGGTTTGATGACTGCCTTCCTGGCCAGTCACGCAACTCTCTGTTTCTCTCTTAAAACTGAATGGTGTAATTTATCTGAAATGGAATTCCAAACCAACTTGTCAAATCTGTGGCACACAACACGCTTCTCAAACACAGCTGGTGGATCTCCCAACAGCAAAAATAAATAAATAAATAAATAAACGAAACAGCGACACCCAGTGGCCGCAAGCGCTCACAGAAACTCGTTCGACGGAGTCACGGCCGTTGATGCCAATTTAGCCCTTGTGAGGTTTTGTAACTTTCCAGACCGCGCTGGCAAGCTTTATTCTCGCTCAAAACACAGTTACTGTGTTGATACTTTGAAAACTTGATAAACACGTAATAGCTACCTATGTAATGGGATTAAGCTTCTTTTACACAAAGATCATGAAGTTTCAAAAAGCCTTTTGCAGAGATTGTTCAAGTGGAGTAACGCCACATTGAAATCCACATCAGAGATAGGCTCCACCAACCGCCATCACCCAAATGAGGATCAGCGCTCTCGAAAATGGACGGGTTTTATGTAGTTCAAGGCAATTTGAGCAATTTGTTGTTTCAGAATGTGGCCCGGTGGTCGAGTGGTTAGCGTGTTGACCTCACAGTGCAAAGGTCGCCGGTTCCGGCCTTCCTGTGTGGAGTTTGCATGTTCTCCCCGTGCCTCTGTGGGTTTTCTCTGGGTACTCCAATTTCCTCCCATATTCCAAGTTAATGGAACACTCTAAATTCTCCCAAGGTGTGAGCGCAAGTGGTTGTACATCTATGTGTGCACTGTGATTGGCTGACAACCGGTCCAGGGTGTCCCCCGCCTACTGCCTGAAGACAGCTAGGATAGGCTCCAGCAGGCCCTGCGACCCTTGTGAGTATAAACGGATTGGAAAATGGATGGAGGGATGAATAGTGAATGCCATTATTCTTTCCTGTACCACTAGGGAGAGCCCACGCACTCCTCGTGGTACATGAACCACATTTTGAGGATCATTGATAGACTATTGCGCTTGTCTGGAATTTGTCATAAAAGAGGAGGAAGTTGATGTCTTCTAGTCAAGTTGAAAGGTGAATCATGTTTTAAGTTTAGTAAGTCACATGATGCAAAACATATACACACAACTTCGTAGAAATAAATAAATAAATAAATAAACGAAACAGCGACACCCAGTGGCCGCAAGCGCTCACAGAAACTCGTTCGACGGAGTCACGGCCGTTGATGCCAATTTAGCCCTTGTGAGGTTTTGTAACTTTCCAGACCGCGCTGGCAAGCTTTATTCTCGCTCAAAACACAGTTACTGTGTTGATACTTTGAAAACTTGATAAACACGTAATAGCTACCTATGTAATGGGATTAAGCTTCTTTTACACAAAGATCATGAAGTTTCAAAAAGCCTTTTGCAGAGATTGTTCAAGTGGAGTAACGCCACATTGAAATCCACATCAGGCTCCGCTAATTCCTGTTATTTGCAGCTCGACTAGTCTGAGGACTAATAAAAAAAGTTCAACAAGCAAAAATTTGATTATTTTTATTTGGGACCAAGTCGCGGGATAAAAAAAAAAAAATTGATGGCATAACCACAAAATATTTACAAATGTGTATCTACAACAACAAACTGCAAGTCTGGATGCAAAAAAAAAAAAATTAACGAACAGACAGGAAGACTCAAAGTGTTGACATTTCCACACAACAGGGAATGCAGACGAGTTTTCAAACGCCGACAACTGAAGCTCTTGCTGCATGACACTTGACACTGGAGTGAGTCTTCCTGCTTTTCAATTCTCCCTTCTCGTTGACTTTCTGCTTACTTATGAAGCCTCCTCGTCGATCTTGGGAGCCAGGTAATATTTGACGTGGCCCATGTCGGCAATCTTGTATTCCACCACTGCAGAGATTGAATAAAAAATGTTATTTAATAAGGGACGTGAAGAAAGCAGAAAAGCAGTAATACTGTGCAGTTTTGCCTTGACTTTAGAGACAAAGTTATGCGGTTTGGTCAAACACAAAACGTGGAACGGTTTTAGGTTCACTGTAAAAGTAAACGTTAAATGGGAGTTACAATCAAGCGAAGAACGTGAGAAAGTGAAGGCACTCCCATATTTGTTGTGGTAGCCGCGTGTGTCGCTTACCGAGAGGAATGTCCGCGGACATGCTGAGGGTGACCGTCTTAGACAGAGGAGTGGCTTTGGTGAAGAAGTTCAAGTAGTTGAGGGCAAAGATGAGCTGAACTGGCTCATTCATCTCAATAGTCACCTGGAAACAAATTGGAAAATATTTTGCTTGTTGCAAATTTCTATTTTAAAATTTTCTGCACTGAACTCAAGTCTTACAATCAAGACGTTTTCGAGCTGCAATCAATTTAGAATTCTATCACTCCCATTTTGGTATCAAGACAAATTGGCTACATAGTTTTTTTTTCTCCAGACAACAGTAACTTAAAAAAAACAATTGCTTGCAATTTAAAATATTTTAGCTGATTTGTTGCTTAAAAGTATTCACTCGCGATTTACAGGAGTGTTTAGATATGACCAAACTCACCGCCTCCTCTTCCTTGTCCACATTGCTTGTCTGGGACAGCTTGATATTTCCCGTGCCCAGTTCTCCATTGGCGGAGAACTTGACACCGTCCTTGGCGCAGGAGATCATGACGGCGTCGCCGATCTGCGAGAGGTCACGGCAGATGCGTGCAAACTCCCCTGACGGCATCTTGACCACGCAGCTGTACTCCTGCTCCTGTGAACATGAACAAGAAAAGGTCATAAACCAGCGCACTGTATTGTCCCAAGACCAAAAACCTCAGCCGGAACTTACTGGAATTCCCAGCTGCTCCACATCGAGGTCCATCAACTTCATCTCGTAATCTGACACCTTCTCCTGGTCTGAAAAATTAAAAAAACAAAATTAAAGGAAAGTTCAAACAATAATAACACTGAGCTGACCGGATAGTCCGCCAACTTACTGATGGTCTCAAAGACAAGTGCGAGTGTGTCTGCATTGTCATCGGCTCGGAGCGTGATGATGTCTTCGTTTCCGGCGCATTTCAGGATCTTTGACATACTGTGGAAAATATACATAAAATTGAGGTACATTAACTAAATTGTGTTTACAGTCATTTGAAGCAATGGCGTTTTATGCCGGTCATGATTTTAAAAGACATGATAATCAATTTTGCTACTATTGTGCTAATCTATTTTTTATGATGAGGCAGATGGCAGATCTTATTCATAGGCAATTCAATCTTGCTCAGTATTTACAATTACTCCCCAAGCCCCCAAAAAATTCCCAAGCCACCTATAACTTAATCTTACCATATTAATAAGTACCAATGTGCTTTCTAACAATTGCATTTTTTAAAATTCATATTTCTCAGTCATCCAGGTCATGCTAACCAGCAAATGGAGTCTTCTTGTTTGTTGAAGGTGTTGTTTTACAGAAAAAAAATTACTTGGGTAGTTATGCTATTATGCTAACAACAATAAACGGTAAATTGAGTATTTAAAATTGTTACTTTATTGGTATTTTATTGTATTCTACGTCTTTATTTATATAGCTTTCAAAACCGCTTCAGCTTTAACAAAGCGCTTTACAGAACAGTTAAACAATGAATAGACGTAATTTCAGGCGTTATCTGACCCATATGCAAACCGGAACCGACGTCAGCATGACTCGCTACCGGAAGTGCAAATTCCCGGGTTCAACAAGTATTCCCGCCAAGTCTCAAATTGGCGCTGAAGGGACGTCGACGCGCAATGACAACTCCAGCGAACTAACATTGCGCCAAATCAAAGATTTCAAACCCTTGAGACGAGTTGTACCATGCCATTCTTGGGTATATTTAATAGGAACCAAAGTGAAGGCTTTCAGAGGCTAATCCATTCGGAGGGACATGCCCGGGCAACTCCGCCATGACGGCAGCTTTTCTTTTTCCTTTACTCGAGCTTTAGCTGTGATTGCCACAATAAAGTCATAACGACATTGAATATGGCGTTGATATAAACATGAAAACACTTCCGTCCCGCTAAATGTAACTTATGTCAACCGAAGAACGCTTGCTTTAAAATGAAAGCTAATATTTGCCTCCCGACCCAAATTAAAAAAGTTACCAATTAGCCACCACCAAAAGGCTTTACTGGCGTCTAAAAGTCGTACTTATTGAGCTCAAAAACTATGTTATTTGGCTGACCTGCCCAGGTTGACTCCCATGGCGAGGTTTCTGTCGCAACGGTACGAGTCGAAGCCGTCGCTGCGGAGGGTGAGCTGCACCAGAGAGACGTGAGAGGAGTCCATGCTCTGCAGCGAGATGCCGGACGAGCTGACGTCCCAGCATGCCTCCGTGATCAGATCCTTCAGGGCCTCCAGGACCTTCTTTAAGATGGATCCCTGGACAAGGCGAGCCTCAAACATGCTTGCTGTGGGGTGTGTGTTGAAAAGGTGGACTGGGCGAAAAACGGAGCAAATTCCTCGAAGTTGGGAAGAGCGAGGAGGAAAAAAAGAGCACAAGTTGCAGTTATGGTCGAGGAAGAGAAGCTTGAGGTGAAAGCCTTTGTGCGTAGTTAGCTAAATGAAGCTCGGCTTCGCGGGAGAAGACAGCCTGGCGCGCGCCGCAGCTCTGTTATAATGGTTCTGCGCTTTTACGTCATTTCCGCTACGTAGTACAGCACGGCATTTCCCTCATGACAAATGTCGGCTAAAAGCGGCCATTTTGAAGAGGTCAACCCGCCAAATCCCGACCCGGCCAATGCATTTCCCATGGGACAAATGTAGGCTAAAGCGGCCATTTTGAAGAGGTCAATCCGCCAAATCCCGACCCGGCGAATGCATTTATTTTACATTCGAAAATGTATCAGAGCAAACCACCAAACAAAACTGTCACAAAGCGTGACATGATCTCGTTTAAATTCGCTTACACAGGTACTCACTGTCATAGGGAGCGCCGTTTATTTCGTTCAGTGTGGCGGTTGGCAAATAACTTTACTGCATTATCGCCACCTACTGGTCTGGGGTATGGCTCTGGCATGCATAGCGATCATCTTGCCTCTCGAGGCAAATACAAAAAATTGCAAACATTCACTCTGTTGCAGTGTCTTACTACCTCCAAATATTGAAAAAATATTTTTCTTATTTCCTGCGCGCGTTTTGGACAAAATATCACGTCCTACCGTTTGTCCACAACAAAACGTTTGCTTTCCTTGCCCTTTTGAGGGGTTTTGATCAGATGTCAATATTTGCCAACTTCTGGCCTGTGACACCCTGAGACTTTTTTGTGGGCTACAGAAGTAAATTTGACTTGAGTTTACCAGTTACTGCTCAATTCAATGTGTTCAAAATGATATTATTGTTCCTTGTTACCGGTCTCACCCTGTCGAATCGTCCTCTAAATTCTGTGGAACAAGCACCCTTTCATTTTTGCACTGCTTTTTTTTTTCAGTTCCTCATTGGATGGACAAAACAATTCTATTGTCTGAATTGCTACACAGATGAATTATAACTTCTGCCATCTAGTTCTACTAACTGTTCTGTCAGTTAGGTCACCAACAGACAAACTAAATACAGTACATTTGTACAGTGGTTGATAAATGTCAGACCTTTAGGGAAGTGACTATACCTGTAGAATAATTATCCCAGCTGTCACTATTGGTCGTCAGTCAATCACATAGCCCATAGAGAAAGACAATCATTCACAGTCACATTCACACTGTACCCGAGTACGAACCAAACCCACGGTGTATAGCGAATGAACTGCTACAACCATCAGTGAAGATTCAATGGCTAATGAATATTTATTGACCAATGAAAAATGCTTGGCATAAAGCCGCACATTTACAATGATGACGTTTTTAATACTGTACTACTACTTTTCCTTGGGGTACTTTTGTGCAACTTGATGTCAGTTGTATTTTAAACTGCATCAGAGCGCCTACAGCTCAGACAGGAAGTAGTTGGTTGCCATGGCGACAATGGGCGCTCCCGTTGGCACGCCAGGGAAGGGGCCGCTGGAGCCGGCGATGTCAATGTGGGAGTACGGCAGAGGCGCCTCAGAATCCACACCATGCTGCATCGGCGTAAAGGGAACAGACTGATGATTTTAGATCTGATGAAACATATTCAATCAGTTATTTGTCCCCGTGACCACCTTGTGCAGGCCCGACGCCATGATGAGGAACGCCGCTGGGGTCTGATGTCCACGAGGGGTTGCAGAGGACGGCAAGTTGTTGCACTGGAGAATGTCCTCGTACTCGGATTTACCCTTGTGGAATTCATAGTCCTCCCTCCTGATGCAGGACACTTCAAAGAGGTCGCCCAGCACCTCTCCGGCTGCATGGTGGTGGGACAAGAACACATGTTATTTTTTGACTGGAAAATGTCTAAAATAATTAGGGTTGCAAAGGGATGGCAAAAAAATCAGGTAGATTTGCTTGGTGTGCAGTGCTGCAACCATAGAATTACTTTATCTCACCTTTCTGCCACTGAGCTGCATTGCCAGCACGATGGGCGGGTCCATTATCCATGATTATCTGCAGAAAAAAAAAATCAAAGCTGAAAAATTCAACTCAAACATCACACTGACATCCGTGGTCACCCAATAATGGAGTCGGCACTCACAGAGTAGTTGGGTCCCATGGCTCTGATGGCGTGGCCAGTCAGTGTCGCTATCGTAAACAACTGAGGGCAAGTCTCGTGAACTGCCTGCGAGAACATGAAGTAATTAGCGTCAAAACCTTTTGTGATCAATCATACAAGCAAATTAGCTGGGTGAAGACTTCTGCCGGGATCAACATTTTGGGAAAGAAAATTGTGCTAAGTGCCAAAATGAGTCTGTCAATCTGTCAGAAAACAAAGCTCATAACACCCATCACCACAGAATTATCACTCAGGATGATATTTTAGAAATATCCGCCAATCGAGTCTTTGCTGACTTTGACCGCAAGGCTGGAAATCAAATTTAGCCCGATTATTGACATGGGTGTACTCCCCCCAAAAAAAAAAAAAAAACCCAAAACAAAACCTTAGGTGATCTGACCTTCTCCTTCATCTCACAAAGCAGGTCAACCATCACCATGCGCCCCTCGGCGTCCGTGTTGCCCACTCGAACTCGGCGGCCCGCGCGAGAAACCACCAGCTCGTCCGCCACGTAGCAGTCTGAAACACAAACACAAAGCCTTGACTTTAAAATTTGCCACTACCCAGACATTTGACACCCTCCCCCCCATTTACATTCAGCCCGCTCATCAAATGTCACTGACCTGAACCCACACTGTTGCGCACCATAGCCATGGAGCCGACAACTTTCAGGTGTTTTGGCTTCAGTTTAGCCAAAATCTAAAATGGGAAATTGGATTAGTGGCATTTAGTATATACAGTGAACTCTCCATCCATTCGCGGCTAGTGATTAATGGGGTGTTTTTGGGGTGGGGGGAGTCAGACGGCACAAGATGTCAACTGTCAATGCAATTTACTTTTTAAGGGTAATGCATGATTATATTGAATGACATTTCAACGTACTTCGCGATCAGATTTTGTGATTTATTTCCAGTTTACTTTTCACCGTGACATCATACGTACTTCCGAGTGGCAATAACTCTAGTGAACAAACTTTTACATGTCAGTGACCAGTGCAGAGTGGTTGAGAGGTAAATGGCTTGAGTGATGATTTTAGCCTTCTTCTCTGCAGCTCTAACTGGGATGTGTGACATGTCAGGCGAAAAGATGTTATGTGAGGTTGACTGGCTTCCAAAGGAGACAAAATCAGACGTAATTTACATTTCAAAAGGTAAGTTAATTAGAATACTCTCAGGCATAGCTCGAGTGAACAATGGTTCATTAATGAAACTTTTCTTTTGCCGAGATACATGGCACAGCTGTGCTCTTTTGATGCTGAAATGGATAGCTTGATTTATGCTTCTTCAGTTTCATTTTTGGGGAAATTGGAGGAAAAAAAAAGGTAATGTTTAGGGGAATATGTGGTGCGCATTACCAAAAAAGTTTTTCTCATAATTTCAGGTCATCAGTAATCACTTGCCTACTGCAGCCCTCAAGTACCCCTGGCACCTACTATTTACAAAAAATTGCGGCAGGGCTCAATCCCTGCCCCCCACATGGATTGCAGCGGTTTACTTTCATGCAATCTTGTTACACACAGACACTTATTTATGAGAGACGATGTCAAGATTTTTTCACTGTATCTCACCTGGAAGAATCCTGCAACGGCAGCAGCACCGCACTTGTCTCTATGCATCCCGGCCATGAAACCACCAGCCTTGATGTCTGCGCCGCCCGTGTCGTAGGTGATGCCCTGTTCACCAATCAACACAGATGCGGCTTTTAGCTCTTAAATTCATAAAAAAGGGAACTCTACACCTACAATTTTGAACTGGAGAAGCCCCTTTGGATTACAGATGAAACGTCTTGATGGTACAATTCAAGTGCATGCCTGGTTCATTGTGCACAGAAATAATTTTTTCTCAATTGTCCATTTATCAAACTATGTGGGCACAGCATGTCCTCCTCTTACCTTGCCCACCAACATGAGCGTCTTCTGGATAGGGCCCTCGCCACAGTACTGCAGCTTGATAACTCTGGCCTGGTGACGGGGTACACCTGAATGAGGAAGGAGCCATGAGTGGTTGCGCTACCAAGGAGCATGCCAACAACAAGATGCGCTCTTACTGTTGGCACACCGGTTGACAGCAGCCAGGCAGGGGTACTCCTTCTCCAGAAGCTTCACGTCGCTTATCACTTCTGCCTAAAGTGGAACACATACATACATGCATTCCACATATCAGGGTTTTCAATCCTTTATTGAACTAATGCACTTTTTTTAAATATAAGAACAATCTCACAGCACGCCACCAAATTAAAATGTCACATAGAATATGAAACTGTAATAATGAATGACGTGTGATGGTCATGGAAGAGCATTTAATAATTCTGCCTGTCACTATCCTGCTCTGGCATATTGCAGACAATATTGAATGTTACGGGACACAGGAAATTGTAACAGCAAAAATACAGGCTATTAGTAGCTGCATTGGGAAAGAAGCGAGAAATACTATTTCAGTTTTGATAATGGTTTTAAGGACAGCCAGCCAAACAGGATACCTCTAAAGCAGATGAAAATTAACAATTGATTATATCTAAAACACCAACATTCCACCAGATGGAGCCAAAGTGAAACTTTAATTGCTTTGGCCTGAGAAGAAAAACAGTTGACTCCAATTTTTGGACCAATTATGACCCCTCAAGACAACATAATGTTGTCAAAGCTCAGTCGGTGGGAATGCCTGCCTTAGACTGAAGGTGAAACAAATAATGAGCGCTTGGCTTGACTACCTGCACGGGGCTGTTCTTGAAGAGTTCCACAACGTACTCAGCCACGCGGGGAGCAGCCATTCGCTCAGGATCCGAGCCGCCGATGTCACGGCATGCCAGCCTAAAAAAAAAAAAAAAAAACGAGACTTCGGAGTGAAGGACTGAATGGCACATTTATAAGAGAATGAGGTGAAATAATTTAACCGTACCTTCCACTTTCCAGAGCGCTAGCTAGCTCCACGAGCCTTTGTCCCTGGCTCTCGTGAGTCACCCAGAGACCAAGCACGCACACCTTATAGTTGGATGATTTTATGTTCACCTCCCTCACTTCTAAAGGCTATTAGAGGACAAAAACACACACTCCCATAAATGGCAACATAAAGGTTGACAACAATGCAATGCATACAGTTGTGCCCTTAAGTTTACACACCCTGTCAGAATTTGTACTGTCTGTAGTATTTCTAAAACATGAGTGACCGGGCAAAAGCCATTTAAAATGTTGAATGTGATTCAAAATAAACTACAAGGCACTTCAGAATAACACAGCCATTAAAAAAAAAAACAAAAACAAAACAGAACGGTAGAGGAAATGTTAACAGCACAGTACTATTTTCCCCAAATTATGCTAGCACAGATCCGTCACAAGGAAGCAAGTGATTGCTCCATCTTAGGCTGAAGTGACGGCCGAAACTGTCAGGTAGGCGAGACATTTTCTCTTCACTTAAAAAAAAAAAAAAAAAAAAAAAAAAAAAATGTCTGGGGGGAAAAAAAAAGAAACAAACCTATTTTAACTAATAATAAGACCAGAGGAACGTCACAGTGCTAGCATAGATGCTATTTCGTTAGCGTGTCCATTGCTGGCTAGTGTTAAACTAAAAGGACTTCATTTGAAATACACAACCTGTAACTCTCTTTTTTATGTTTACTTTGACAGTAAATTTCAACTAGTAGTGGGATTTAACAGCTTGAAGAATTGTTCACTTATTTCCAAATTGATGCTTGTTGTGAAGCAGAGTTGACTGCCACCCTACAGCGCTTGTATCTAAATTTTTTGCTCGCAAGGCAAAGTCAGATAACAGGCCGAAAGATGTTTCATTTCACCAAAAAATAAGAGAGGTTGGGTCACTCACATCGGGACTATGCAAACCAGCAGTGTGTTCATCTTACCATGTAGAGCGCATGAAGAGCCCCAAGTGCAGCCACCAGAGTGCTATTCTTATAGTCCTTGTGCTGAGGGCAGACCAGCAGGGGACGCTGCATTCCTGCCTTCAAGGCCCTGAAATTACAAGTGTGAAAAATGTAAAAAAAAAAATTCTAATAATAATTTAAAGACCTCCCAAGCCATGAACGTATACTGACCGCTTAACCGCATTGACAGCTGCGTCACTGAAGCGTCTGACATCATCATAGTCGCGGTTGACGGGCCCCGTAGTGGAAAACACCAATCGGTTTCCCGGGAGACCGGGGACCTTCAGGACTACCACCTCCTCCCCGAGCCCGCTGTCCACCTGTTGAGTGATTTCATCATGATGTTTAGACCTCTTCATATACCGTTTCAGTCAAAGCTTTTCCACGCAATTAAAGAAAACTCAATGTTTAATTTGTAAGGATTTTGCTGATATGATAATTACTGAGACTATATTCCATTGATAAATAGACAAGACAAGATAACCTTTATTAGTCCCACACTGGGGAAATTTGCAGTCTACAGCAGGAAGATGGGGGGGTGATAAAGTGTTTCATTGCACAAAATTAATGTTTCAGAAGAACTGTACACAGTTCAATATAAGTGCAATATAAATAAAGCATTAGCAATATATTTGTAGAAGAAGAATAAATAATAAATAGCAATAGCATAGAAAACACAGCGTAAGGTGGCTGTGCTGTTTGCAATGGTTACAGGTTTTCACGCATGTTTATTCAGCAGCCTGACAGCAGTCGGTAGGAACAAGCGACAGTATCTCTCCTCCTTGCAGCGTGGGTGTAACAGGATGTAAAAGGAGTTTCACTTTGTAGTGACAGGGGGTACATTCTTGGGCATAAAACAACTGTGTGTTTATTGATACAGTGGGTATATGTTCTGGTAAATAGGACTCCTTCCCCTAACGTCTTAAAAAAGCTAAGAGTCTCGGGCTATTTAGAGGCATCAATACAATACATCCTGATTTATACAGCGCTTTCACAACCGCTGCAGCTCTAACAAAGCGCTTTCCAAAACAGTTAACATAAAATAAAACAGTAACAGAACACAACATAAAAACACGAACAGTTGTGCAATCTTAAATCACTTTTCCTTTATACGCTTTGTTGTTTGAAGCAGTTCTAGATGAAAAAGGAGAGAATCAAAGTGTCCTTTCACCAGTGAACCAGAGACGTCATGCTCAATATGTGCGCACGTCTGTGCATTGTAATCACATGTTGCAGTGGTGTGTAGGCATTTCACCTTTTGTATGTACATACTAGATATTGGTCAACAAAACTTACAGAGTTGTAGTCCTGCAGGGGTGCTTTCAGACACTCAAGTTTTGAGGGCAAATCATCATGGCTTGGGGTTACCAAGATGACACCATCAAATCTGCAAGTGTCAAAATGTATAACCAATAACATGTCTGTCTGCACAGGATACACACACACACACACACACACACACACACACACACACACACACACACACACACACACAAAAGCGGATATGTGCCCTTTCTTTTAGTACTCACTTCTGGTCCTTGAGATCAGTGGTCCACTCAATGGGTTGCACACTACCAGAAAAAAAAAAGTTATAAAACATGATGTTGGACTTCGACACCTTCGCTAAAAACATTTAGACTTGAAGGAGCCAGACATCAGTGTAAGTTAATGATAAGAGAGTGACCAAAGTGTGGAAGGACCTTTGATCATTCAATTCTTATCTCTAAACCTTGATCACCCCTTGCCGTGCAAGTTCTGTAACGAGACTAGACAACTTCAGAAAATGTATTTGTCAATCTGTACGGCCATACCACACAAAGTTTAAGAAACTCAAGTGCGTCATGCACAACACATATTGAAAGTGAAGGCAAGCACAACACATAATGACAGTGAAGGCAAGCCGAGTAAAGACTTAAGATCGAATTACTTACAAATAAAACATCAATGTAAACTCACATCATGGGAGTAATTATGAGTCTCCTTAATTTAATGCCATATGGCAGTGCACCGTTTTAAAAAATACAAAATGAAAAAGTCCCACACAAACAAACGTTTTTCTACATGTACAATGAACTTTGTAGTTTGGTTAGCTCCCAGTAGCAACCCAGTTAAGGGCTTAGTGGATAGAGGAGATTCTCACCTGGTGCACATCGTTTCGGTCTCCTCGTTCGTTGTCGTCGGCGACTGACAAGTGGAAACTGGGAAAAGAAAGGGAATGATTATGAACTGACTGACTGACTATGGTCACAATGGGGCTGCTGCCGTACGGTCACATGACCAGACCACATGTTGTATAGTGATGTGTCGTTCGCGAACGAGCCGGCTCTTGGAGCAGGCTCCTTGAAGTGAACGAAATGAACCGGCTCCTAAGAGGGAGCC